TTATTTGTTGCTTTTGTTGTGCAGTGTTACGAATAAAGGACTTCTCATTTGTTTGCAATGATGCGGCACCAGCCTCTAATTTGTATGTAAGTGTGCCAGTCCGAAAGCTGGTCTCCAGTCTGCCCTTGTGCTGTGAATATGTCTGGCACAGCAGGAAAACATGTTAACATGCACACGCAAGTACAAGAAGCGTGAGAGAGAGAGAGAGAGAAAAAGGGGATGACACATCTTTGGACACGTTGTTGGGATGAGCATCAGCCTAAACAAATGTTAATAGATGCAATGAACTGCTTAAGCTTAACAATATTACATACTTAAAAACTAGCACAACACATATAGCACATTTGATCCCTTGCAAATCTCACAGTATACAACAAATTGGACACAATTTATAAAGTCCACGCATGAAATTAAATAGCCAAAAAACCCACAAGTCATTTAAAAAAAAAACACAATAGCAACTGTATGCTGACATAATGTTTGGGATTTGAGACAGACTGTTTTACGAGGCTGAAGTCGCTTCTTATTCTCCAGCTTCTTGTTCGAATTCTCCCATTCCACCTTAAATGGTGCCGCATTTACATTTGGCGCCTCAGTTAGAATTTAAGCTGGAACGGGTAAATTCGAACAAGAAGCTGGAGAATAAGAAGCGACTTCAGCCTTGTAAAACAGTCGAACGTTGAGAAACATTTAACTGATCAACTTCTGAGGAAAAGTTTTCTGGCAGAGATGGGAGGAAAGCAGCTATAGCTGAGCTAAAGCTTAAAGCACAGCAAAGTAAATCTGCGCTCTCGTTTATATTGTTTAGCCTCTACTAGGACATTAACACATACTGACACATACTGGACATTAAATGTTACACTACTTTGTTGAAAGGACAAAATGTTAACATTTGTGTTGTGACTCCTGATCTAACTTGGCTTTAATGCAGAGGGAGCCGGTCGGATTTCTCGCTCTTCCACTTGTGTTTTTGTAATGTGCCGCCACAGACTGTCTGGACGCTGCACTTCCGCACTTACAAGTTCTGACTTTTGCGTTCCGTCAACATTACGTTATAAATTAAATATTTAGAAAATTGATTTTTGACATTTGTGAATCGATTCAGAATCGTTCACGTCCGCATCGCGATGCATCTAAGAATAGTTTTTTCCCCGCACCCCTACTAATTAGTCAGTTTGCTGCTGTGCCTCATATGACCCCTAGATGTCCCTAGACAGAGAAGAGGGCTGCACATGTGGTGCCAAAGCTGAAGCACACTCTACCTCTACGTACCTCCAAAGATATGAGGAGAGGGGTGGGCTGGGTAGCTTTTGCTTGAATGCTACATTTCTGTGTGGACTTGTGTGAGAGTGTGTGAGTGCCTCAGTTGCCTGTTTCCGTATGTGTATCATGATGCACTTATTGATGGATAGATGCTTCTGTGTGGGCATGCGTATGACTGTGACAGACAGTAGAGCAAAGACTAGAGTACATAAAACTATTGCCATACGTGCATGTACATTGTTATTCTTATTCTCACTGACCCCTGGGACATACAGTGGGGTCCAAAAGTGTGAGACCACTAGTGAAAATGCTTCTGTTTTGAATTCCTTTCTAATTTAATACAACCCCATTTCCAGAAAACACTGTGAAAAATGTAAATTAAAACAAAATGCAGTGATGTGCAAATCATTCAAACCCTATATTTTTATTGAAAATAGTACAAAGACAACATATCAAATGTTGAAACTGAGAAATTTTATTGTTTTTTGAAAAATATTTGCCCATTTTGAATTTGATGCCAGCAACATGTTCCAAAAAAGTTGGGATTGGGGCAACAAAAGGCTGGTGAAGTTGTGTAATGCTAAATAAAACACCTGGTGGTTGATTGGCAACAGGTCAGTAACATGACTGGGTATAAAAAGAGCATCCTAGAGAGAGTCTTTCAGAAGTAAAGATGAGGAGGGGTTCACCTGTGAAAGACAGCACAATCAAATAGTGCAACAATTCAAGAATAATGTTTCTCAACATAAAATAGCACTTTTGCTTCTCATCATCTATGGTACATAGTAACATTAAAAGATTCAAAGAATCTGGAGAAATCTCTGTATGCAAGGGACAAGGCCAAAAACCAGTATTTGCTGGCCGTGATCTTTGGGCCCTCAGAGGGTTTAAATGTATGTAAAATTTGTACATCATTGAATTTTGTTTTTATTTACATTTTGCACAGTGTTCCAGCTTTTTTTGTTTTAAAGTTTTTAAGATTCTAAACCTTTCTGTCCAGTTTTAAATAAAAAATATAGCTTTTATATATAGACTTTCAGTGTGGTCTCAGACTTTTGGACCCCACTGTATGTAAATTGTGTGGTGCATATTTCCACTAAATATTGACATAAAAACAAGTTCTAGCATGAAATAGAGTCGAAGCGTCCTGTATTTCCTGGTGTAATGAAAATAGTTGAAGCTTACGATGTGTCCTAGGGAGTACATCAAGCAGTACATCAAGCAGTACATCAAGAAGCAGTGTGTATTTGCTAGGCTGAAGAAGAAGGAAATAAATTTGCTTGCTGGCATGGAACCCAAACGCTTGATTTCTAGTAATGCCAGCCGCTGCATATTTTCGAACTGCCTCTAACATAAAGTCAATGGACAGCTCAGTGCACTTGGAGGAGAATGCTAAATGCCAGGTCTGTGATGTTACCTAACAGTTGCTAGCATTGGCTGACATCGCACAGAGCAATGGGTGGAAATGGTGGGCTGTTCCACCCACACACCCCTCCAGAGCCTCCCGGCCACAGATGTCTGTGAAAAATGTAATTTTATTGCTGTTTATAACATTTAGAATGGAGAACCTCTTGGTCTGGTTCTGAGAAATGCTGTATATATCTAAATTAAGAACCAACAGGGCTGTACACTCAGCTAATAACATGCAGTCAATTTTTGTCAATTTTGTGCCCCAGTAACTTTTAACATGGACAGTTCTTCTGTGAAGCTAATCCTTCATGAACCATGCGTCAACTTTTAACAACTGATTTGACAGCAACTGCTCAAATTAAATTTCTGATATCAAGACTTTATGGGCTAAATGCAAAGATGGCAAGATATATGTGAAGTTAGTGTCCTTTTAAGCAGTGTAAGGCTTAAAGACGTTTCAGAAAGTGTTTACGTTCATCAGATTTCTTTAATCTTTTTCTTAGTTGCCATAAGTTAAGCAGATAAGTTGCCATATCTGCTAGGCATTGTTAGAGGTTTACTGTATCTGTTAATATGTCAGAGCAGTACCTTACTGTTGCGGTCATATGTGACCATGTTTAAAAAGAATGGTTGTGTATACCTTTTGTTCTCTTTATACCACATGTTAACATGCGTCATGTCTGGATCTTATTTTTGAGAGATCTTTGGCCAGTTTCCATTTACACGTCACTAAAATGCATCCCCAGTTTGACAATGAGATCCGATTTTCTTGCGTAAAAGCACGCCAACACATATGGCATTTCCATTTGACCTTTGTTTATATTTTCTCCTGTAATAAGTCGACAAGCTTGGTTTGGACCCTTTCATTGACCCAGAGAGCAAGAAGTCTGTTGGTTTGTGGTTCGGCCTCGCATGTCTTCCATTTTCATTTCCTTTTTTCTTCTCTCTATAGCTAGTCAGTGCTCAGCACATTTCCGCTCACACATACTGATGGCGGAAGCACATTTTGTTTAAACTTGTGTTAAATGTGGTCAAGATCCATCTCTGACCATATGTGATTTGAGTGATCCTCACAGCACGTTCTGGGATGTATTTACACCTGACTTTTCTTGTGTTCAAGTGAAATCTGAACATGATCCAATCACCAAAAACATGTTAATGCAAGATGTAAACAGGCCTTATAAAAATAAAAGATGTCAGATGAAAATTACAGCATGTTGTCTAACAGATTTAGTTGTTTATATGGTCTCACCATCCTTCCGACTGTACTGTCCTAGAGATAGGGCTGGGTACAGACTGATGGACAGGGAGAGAGTGAAAAAAAGAAAGTATGCCCGTTGATGTCTCTGCTATAGTAGGGGGATTATGAGGTGGAAGGGTCAGTTTGCCTGCAGTCCTTGCATTTGAGAGGGCAGAGCTGGTGTTATCTGACATGTTGATGTCTTGCTGTCATATTGTTTTATCCTCAAGTCTTATACATGCAAAGCAAAACTTTACTACAGCATGCAAATGTGCACAGTTTAGATTACAGCAACGGCAAAAGTTCATACCACGCTTACTTATCACACACTTATCACTGATGTGAAACCAGTGAGGCTCAACCAGGAAATTTCAGATTTTATCTCATTATCAGACAATTTACACCTTCACCAGATCTCTTATCTCTCTCTGTCTTCCACCTCAAATAAATCTCTAAATCTCAATAACATCAAGGTGTCTTCGCCCATTTCCTGCCCAGATGCTTACCTAATTGTCGTGCTGTTGTTAAGATGGCTTTACCTTAGCAATCAAACTACAGGCAACACCATATGACCTGCTACACGTAACACCATATGACCTGGTACACAAAACACTACATGATCTGCTACAGGCAACACTGCATGATTTGCAACATGAAAAACTGTTTAACCTACTATAGGTTACATTGTATGACCTGTTACAGACAACACTGTATGACTTATTTCAGGCAGCACCTTATAACCTGCTACAGGCAACACTGTATGACCTGCTAAAGGCAACACGGTTCCCAAATGTATGACCTACTGTATGACTTTCTACAGGCAATACTGTACGACATGCTACAGACAACACCTTATGGCTTACTACATGCAGCACCTTATGACCTCCTACAGGCCACACCATATGATCTGTTATTGTCAAAACCATATGACCTGTTACAGGTGACGACCTCTTTCAGTCAACTCATCTGGCCTACTAACAGGCAACACTATATGACTACACAGTGACACCAACACTACATCTGTGGGCAGTAACCATGCTGTTTTGCTGTTTTTCTGACCTACAATTTTTTATCGTTGCCTCCACAGATTCGTTGAGAAGGAAAGAGGAGTAAGGAAGGGGGTGTAGAGGAGAGGAAAGGAGGTACACTGTGATGTTGCGGGGGGAGCATGCCGATTACCAGCGCCAGTACCACACTTTGGGCAGCACCCCACGTCGCTTCTCCAACCCTGACATGGAGGCACTGGCCAAGCTGCACAAGGGCGAGGCAGAGAGGCAGCGGGGCAAATACCCGCCCCAACACGCTGCCACACTCGTCAACACCAACTGCTCACGGCAGCAGGTATGTTCCCCTTTGTATGTATGTGTTTCATGTGGAATAACTGTGGAAAGAACTTGGTATGTTCTGGTTGAACACTCATTGTCCCCTTTATTCAAAAACAACTTTAGAGACTGTTGCAATGCACTATATGTGCTAGCCACCTTGTAGCCTTTCATCAGTGATGGGTTTCTGACCGCAGGATATTGTTGGGTGGCGGACCCCAGCAACAAAGCTTGTACAAGCACTACATACGCTAACATACCAGTATCAGTCTGTTGAGAATATTCAACCTCCCAAATAATACCTGGTCATCAGCAGTCCTGTGGGCAAATGACCAGTGATGAATGGGGTAGAGTAGAGCGTGACAACAGATGGACTGCAGTCTGTAATTGTACTCCTGTGAGGTGGATGGACCATATAATGTGGATTCCCAGTGGCAATACAAGGTGAATGTATGCACATGTTCTCTCATACGGGGTGACGATAAAATCATAGGTGTGATCCTTCCTTCTCTTTTTAATTATTCTTTTCTGCTGTTTTTTTGTCTTTTTTTCTATATTTGTTCCTGTCATATCTGTATAAATTCTCTCTCTCCTTGCATCGAGCCAGTCTCCTTCTTCCCTTTCCGTCTCTCTGGTACTCTCCTTTTCTACCTTTACTTCTCCTCTCAACCTCTCAACCTCGCTTGCTCTCGTTTTCTCCCTTTTCCCTCTCTTTTACCTCTCTCCTCGTCCCTGTCTCCTCTTCTCTTTCGGTGTCGTCATCTATCTCTCGGTGCCAGTTCCCCCCCTCGCTGGCTGTTTGCTCGGCGTATTTACCCTGCTGCAGCCGCTGTTAGCAAGAGTGCCAGAATCGGAGGTGGAGTGGTGGTGGTGGTGGTAGTTGGGGGTGGGGGGGTGGTCAGGTGGAGTCTGCCGTTTCCATGACAACTCCAAGCCCATATAAGGCGATCAGTGATATCATATAGCAAGCTGGCATGAAGCGCGAGCCGCTGAGGAACAGGGACGGAGAGAGGGCGAGGGAGTGAGAGAACGAGGGAGAGGAGAGGAGTGAAGAGGAGAGTCCATAGCGAAGGGAGAGACAGAGACAGACAGACAGACAGACAGAGAGAGAGAAGCGCTCCTGAGGCATGAGGGGATTTTCTGTGATCCGCAGTCCGTAAATGGAGAGACGGAAGGAGGAAGAGAGAGCACGAGGAGGAGGAGGAGGAAGAGGAGAAGAAGGAGAGGAGGGGTGGAAGGAGCCGGCGTGAGGAGGAGCGAGCCGGTGGCGGAGCTAATTAATTAGAAATGGTACGGTACGTTCATTAATCAATGAAGACGTGGACAATTTACACTGAGCAAACAGAGAGAGAGAGAAACAGAGAGCGAGAGAGAGATTGTCTACCTGACTGCTTGTTGATATGGTTGAGGTGGAGGATGCTGCTCGTCTAACCAGGTGAGGAGCACTGAGATTCGGGGAGGGACAGCAGCTACCTTTTCATGCCAGGTTTTTTGCATAGCTTTAGAGCGAACGCTTGTGTGTTGTCATAACTGTACATGTTTGGGACACGCAGGTGGGAAGCAGGTGTGGCCAAGAAGCCTGCCGCAGTGACTGTGTATATGTGTGAGAGAGAGAGAGAGAGAGAGATGGCAGAAAGAGAGCACGCGGGAAGGGAGAAAGAGAAGAAGCAGACGGATGAGCAATTATGTTATGTGCGTGTGTGTGTTTGCATGCTCATAAGGGGGACAGAGAGAGAGAGAGAGAGAGAGAGAGAGAGAGAGAGAGTGAGGGAATGCCAGTGGAAGAGAGAGCGGAATGGGTGGGCATACTAGCCTGCTTGGCATGCAGATCATGCTGCAAATTCATCGCTCCCTCCTCTTCCTCACACGCACACGCACGCTCAGAGCGAGCCTTCACTACAACTAACATCTCTCTGATGTGCATTTGGTTGAGCGTGCGTGGTTAAAATACAGCAGGTACACGCTGTGCTAGTCGTGCCTGTTAACTGCTCTCTATGGATGCGTGCTTATTGACAGCCGATGCTTTTTCTCCTCAGAACACAGAGATTTTTCCTGCCTGGGGGCTTACGTCATCCCTCAAGGAGCAGCGAGTTCACACTTTAAAAGGTCCATAAGATGGAAAAGCTTTTTTGAGTCTGAGATTAAATAAGGTTATTACACATTGTTAAAGTTTCAAAATTTACCGTCCACTCCCAGTACATACGATCCACACAGGGAAACTAAGCTAGAAAAACAGCCTGTTTTTAATTCATTGTTTCTGTGATGTCACAACCCATATATCCACCTGTTCAGCCTACAGCAGATTAGCTCCGCCCATTAAAGTAGACGTTCTAAGGAGTGTTTCAGCTCTAAGTGATTGAGCTAACTAACAATACAGGACAGCCAATCAGAACAGAGCTCATTTACATATGTCAGTCTTAAAGGCACAGTTACAAAAACAGCCTGTTTAATTCTAAGCAATAAAGAGATGCTGGAAAATGGTAATATAAAATGAAACATGACTGCTTTTAATATATAAAATCACACAAATATTCTAAGTGAACCTCAAGGTAAGAAATAAAATACAAGAAAAATGTAGGATATGGGCCTTTTAGCACTTTTTAAAGGGGAATTCCATCAATTGTTTTAAAAAAGCCTAATTCAGTCATAAAGATGGCAACAAAGTAGGGCTGTGAAATAATTAAAATGATTATTATTTCATGTACTTAACAAAGATTAATCACATTAGTCTTATTTGCTCAAAATTGAGTCTTTTTTATTTATTTTTTATTTAAAAAGCAGTGCATCTTATTATAGCTATTTGAGTGGGCAAAATAAGCTCATACATAATGTATTTATTACTTTCATTATTTTTTAAGCATATTTTCCTCGTGTGAATGTGAAAATCATGTGATTTCACTAGTGTGGACGCAGTTTCTAATTTCCATCACCCGTGTCCGGTGAGAGCAATGGTGTCTGCTTGTAAATGATACTTGGCAAACAAATTCACACTGTCCATATATTATTTGGGTGGTGGCTCATTCTCAACCCAGCAGTGACACTGATGTGGCAGAGGTGTGGTAATGTGTGTGGATCAGTGCATCAGACACAGCAGTGTTTCTAAGCCTTTTTAAACACCTCAGTAACACTGCTGGGTTGAGAACAATCAGCGATTCAGAAATATTCAGCCAAGAGTTGCTCTGTGGTCAGAAACTGACCACTGAGGCATGGCAAGAGTATGACTAACAAACTGTGCATCAGCAGATAAGCTACAGTCTCTAACTGTACACCAGCCAGGTGGAGCTGCATGGTGGATGTTTTGGCTGTTAACCCTCAATTGCACACATTATAAGAATAATGTTTAAAATGTTTGAATTACTTTTCTTGTATAACGTGAACCTGATTATTTAACTAAAGGTTTTTTTTAATCTTAAATAGCAAAAATGCTTAAGGGAAAAACAGGCACTGATGCGTATTGTTTACAAATAAACCATGTTAACATATCAATATTGTGAAGGAAAATTTTGATTTCTCTTATTCCAAAAATCATTTAAAACCTAAAATAATAGTAATCACAAACATAAAAAGAATCCAGTAATTTTCAAGCATTCAGAATTACTTTTATTCTCTAAACAAAGCTGATGACACTGCTAAAATGTATGACATGCAAAAGCTTATGTCATCTACAAGCTGCTCCTTGCCCAAAATAACCCCCAGGAGAAAATGGAAGCTTTTAATTCATTCATTTAAACTCCTTCCTTTTGTTTTTAACCATTTCATTAAATAATCATGTCATTGAAAAGTGAAAAGTGAGGAAAATGGGTTGGTTACCCTGAGGCAACACTGTGCAATAGAGGGTTAAATGCCTTCAGTAGGTCTTCCAACGTTGACATTTGGTGTCTGAGAGGATGATGACATAAGGTTTACATCCTTTTCATGCTTGACAGATCTTTTGTGCCTTGAAGCTGGGAGGCACTGTTATCCTGGATATCATTTCCATCCTGATAGAAATGCTTTGAAATAGGATTTTATACATCCTAAGCAGGATGGAGCATTTGCTTAGCCATCAGCTTTTAAAGAACTTGTGGCCTTTGCCTGAAGACGTGTTCCATCATTTTGGAGGTTTCATGTTGGCTTGAAACTTGCCATTGATTGTGGTTGTTTGGTTACACCTTTGACTTTACTCATTCTACAGATTCCTGCATCATTTGCAGTGGACAACTTGCCACTGGGGTCTAATCTAGAATAACATCTACATAACACAGTGCTTTCAAATGAAAATACCCCAATGTTTGTGTTCAGTAGGCTGTGTGGTTAGTAATTCAGCTCTAGCTAAAAGTCATTGACACTCTGAGTTTTCCAAAACCCTGCTGAAGGTGGAACAATATGCTATTTCCTGGATAATGACTATGTAAATGCTTATTGGTACAGTCATATTTTGAGCTATTGGCCCATTTTGAGATAAGCAGAAAGAAGAAGATGTTATGTTTTTGAATGTTCCAGAAAAACTGACTTACTGGCTGTTCCTTGAGAATGACCAGCAACCGTACTCTCAGCAGCCAGTTCATCAGACATTTATCAGTTAGCCATTTTTTAGTCATTCATCAGCGATCCTTTTTTTTTGGCTACAGAACTGCACTTGGCTGCACATGGTAGATGATTCTTAGAATGGATGGTGAATATACAGTAGTGTGCAAAAGTCTTTATTATTTAAAGCCATTTATCTTAGCAGTAAGTATTTTTCCTGTAGAATCACCACATATCGTTGAACTATATGCAAATATACAGAAATACAGTAAAAAGTAGCAACATTTAAAAACAAAAACAGTAAAAAAAAGTTGATATCTTTTGAGGTAGTTTGTAGAACAAAGTTCTAGTCATCGCATAGATTTGTTCAAATCCATCACCAGCACTTTTGATTTAACGTAATGAAGCAGTAATTAGACAAACCAGGTATTGGGTGATACCTGCAATTAATAACGGACTGCTATGAGAAGAGGTTTGGAAATGGTTAAACAAATGATTATTGATGTTTATTGA